GGTTGAGCGGTTGCTGAGAAACGTGAGCGCATTCATTTCGTTACATACACACACACATACACACGTACACACACACACACACACACACACACACACACACAGACATGTTCCGATCTCGTCGAGCTGAGTCGAATGGTTTATGACACTCGGCCCTCCGGGCCTCGGATCGATAGTCGGTTTTTCAAGTGATATCTATACCCTTCTTTGTAAGACGGGTAAAAATGGAATATTTCTGTCAGATATGACTTCTAAATTTATTCACCTTTCCATATGTACCGTTGGATTTGATTAAGAGTCACAAATTGTTGAGAAATTGTTTAAAATCTAATACTGCTTCTTGATTCTAAATTCGTTCTACGAGTTTCAATTCCGTCCTAACGCATTGAAACGCCATTAGATTTTCTTCGTCCTACAGAAGGGGATTAGTTAGGAGTGAATGAATATGAATATGAATATTTATACAATGCGCTCTAACAGGATTTATATTGTAGCTAATAAACTAACGCATGGGAACAAATCTATTATTAATTTGTGAACGGTTAAATCATTGATATTATTGAAGTTTTCTGGTCGATTGAACGGAAATGGGCGATTACGACGAAGTAGCGCTCTACCATATTTATAGGAACAGCCTCATCATTCATTGCCTCGTGAGAGTCTGAATGATTGGGAAGTAAACCAGTCACTGACAGCAGAGCACTCAGTCAGAAGCTCATTCAACACGTTTATTCTTCCGTGATGGTACCCAAATCTTGTTTTGAATGACTGAGCGTACATTTTCTATGGAATGCCTCAATTATAAGCTGTGTGAGTCGCCTGTTCGTGATTGGACTGAATGTGTTTGTAGGCTCTTTCATTGCCTCGTCGTTTACCGTTTGGTACATACGATCTAGATAGAACAATGAATTAGCAGTGCTTTCACACTCAGCCTAAGCAGTCAATAATTTTACGTCTGACATCGACAAATGTTTAAGATTTCGGACGCTGAAACAAATTCAAGATCCAGGAAAAATGCTACTGTTGTAGTAACAGGGCTGTTACAAGATTTCCTAAATTTGATCCGCGAAATCCGCGATTTCTCAAAAGAAATCCGCGACTTCAATTACTAATCCGCGACAAAAAAAAAACTGTTTTCATTGGCTAAAAATAGCATTTGTATACTACTACATGGCATTTCAAGCTTATTGCTTATAGCTTATTAGATTTTTGTCTGCTCTCAACTAAGTATTCTTTGAAATACTTTCACATTTTAATTGAGAGCTTTCTATGCCTTTACCATCCTATGTCCTAGAAAGTAGAGAAATTTTTCAATCCTAAAAATTAATTAACCGGACGGGAATCTAACTCAGTCGCCTCCAGCATGGACTTGCTTTGTAGCTGCGCCTTTACCGACTGAGCTAAAGGAGTATCGTTTGAAACATTTGATTTTTTTTAATAACATTGTATCATCTTCATTTTCTTTAAATTCTGAGTAATTAGTAAACATAATAAAACACCCTTACATTATGACATTCTATTGAATAATACTGGCCTAGAGTTGATGAAACATTATTTAAAAAAATTAATGCATTTTCATTTGAAATGCAAATTTTCTTGAAAATTAACCTTTGCGTCTCTGACGTATTTTGTTGTCCTAAATTGTGTAGTTAATTTGGCTCTAGTTTTCTAAATTTTTTACCGATTCAAACCAAACACCCTGCACATAATCGAGAAATTACCATTGTTTTATGAGTCACACTTGCTGGTCACGTCGCGGTTGTGTATTTACACGGATATTCCTTGGGTTCTGTCCAATGGTGAGACATGTTCATGATTTTTTTTTTAAATTTCTAATATGAACCTAGCACTATTCGTTTTCAAATCATAACCGAATCGTATATGTGATTTTGTGGATCATGTACGACCTATTACAATGTATACCGGAAATTATAGGTTTTCCAAATCGTCCAGGACATCAGTTGATTTGTTCTACTAGATCAACCAAGCCTGCAATAATGTATGTAGTATAGAAAAATGTCCAATCAGATTCAAAGTGTCTATGTGGATCATAGTAATCCAGATGTTGTTGTCTTCCTGGAGTTCAGACGATTTGTCCTGGAGTTCAGATAATTTGATCTACTAGATCAACCGAGTTTGGGACAATGTATTTAGTATCGAAATATGTCCAAGCAGATTCATAGTGTCTATATGGATAATGTTTAATTTTTTCCACGTATACCAGATGATCTAGGTTCTCCAAATCATCCTGCAGTTCAGATAATTCGTTTTACTAGATCAACAAAGACTGGGATAATATCTATAGTATCGAAATATCGATTTGGAAATCCTAGAGCATTTGGAATACACAGAAATAGGTTGGCATGATCCACATAGACACTGCGAATTTGTTTGGGCATATTTCGATACTACAGATATTGAATTAGTCTTGGGTGATCTAGTAGAAAAATAATCTGATCTCCAGAATGATTTCAGAACCTATAGCTATAACATCTTGTATACGTAGCAATAGGTCGGGTGCAATCCACATAGACACTTTGAATATGTTTGGACATAATTCGATTCTACAGACATTATTGAAGTCTTGGTTGATATAGTAGAACAAATCAATCAACTGAACTCTAGGACGATTTGGAGAACCTAGAATATCCGGTATACATGGCAATTACTCGCATATATACGATTCGTTTATGATTTGACAACGAAAAATGCTATGTTAATATTTGAGGAAAAAATGAAAATGTCTCACGTTGGATAGACCCAAGGAAATTTCCGTGTAAATCGGGTATGACTTATGAAATTGAGATCATTTCTCGATTATTTGCAGGGTGTTTAGTTTGAACCGGTAAAAAATTATGACCCAAATGAACAACAAAATTGATGACAGCAAAATAATCCGGGACGGAAAGGTTACAATGAATTTCACATTTTTTTGTGACAGCACATCAGTCCCTTCAACGTTTCCGCGATTTTCGCGACTTAAAGTTCAAATCCGCGACAAATCCGCGAAATTCGCGAAATCCGCGCCTGTTGTAACAGCCCTGTAGTAATGATCCATTTTACCTTGTGGTCCCCTTCGACTCAATCGCATTCACTTTTATCGAAGACAACAAATCAAGAAGACTGGCAACTCTTCCATTTTCTCATACAAACGCTATGAGACAGGCAGTGGCGTTTCCTTAACCTCAATCTACCTGTGCACCAACTCTCAAAACATAAACAATTATCAAAATATTGCTTGCAATGGATAGATATCGAGTAAACTAGAAGATTAAGTGTGTTTTTCAACCGATTCGGGTATGAATATGGCATTAAATCTGGTATTGAAAGTTGGTGCACAGGTTAAAAGTGAGGTTACCGGACGCCACTGGAGACAGGTACAATCGCGTCATCTGCCGCTCAAAGGTAAATGCTTCGAACGAATTTCATAGCAAAGATTACATCCTCAGAAGAAGGGTTTGTGTATTTGCTCATTTTTCTATGCGTTGCTTCCACCTTCACTCAAGTGCAGTGCTACTGTATCTGTCGCTTGGATTCTGGCAAAGCTCTTGATTTGTTGTCTTCGCTTTTATGCAAGGGGCAAGTCAGCCGTACTCAGAGCAAATAGTTTCGCTGCGAGTAAATTTGAGCAACTCATAATAACTCAATACTGATCAAAGTAGTCTCGCTTTTTTTTTTCAAAAAATACAAACCCTCAATGAAAAATAGAAACAGACGTCATCTACTGCACCTATCTATTGCACCGAGGACATGCTTAGCTTGTACCGCTTGTACCCGAAGATATTCGTTTACTGGCAGGTAGGGACAATCATAGCCCTTACATTATGACGTTTCTATTCCTCCTGGGATATGAGTTTCGTGGCGACGTTCCTTGTGCTTTTGAATACTACTTCTGTTTTCATCACCCATTTCTTTCACATAATTTGTGAAGAATGAGAAGGAAGTCAAATTCCAATTGTTGCGATGAATTTCAGTCTATGAGCCAATGATGTTGGCATATGGACACTATCCGTTATTGAGTTAAAACGCAGTGTATTAAAATAGGATTTCCGGAGAATCCCAGAAGAGCTCAGTGCTAAACTTTGCCTGTCAGTTTAATTCCGGGCAATGTGATTTTCTTCAGCTGAAGATCCTTATTGGTGGACTCAATACCTCATGCTACTCATGGGAATTTAGCAAAGTGAAAATGTTCCTCCCACCACTGCTTAATACTCAGAAAAACAGATACAAACGGCACCACAAGCCACAATCTTAAAAAAGAACAGCTCGGTGACGGTATCTGTTGACTCAGACCTGGTGGTTGTCTTGAATCATCGTAACCACTCATACATTCTGTAACACCGATATTCTGGACAGAATTATATAATTCAGCAAATTCCTCAACAGCACCATAAGTATCACATCCAGAAGAACTTAAGCAACAGTTTTCAGTTGCTTATGAATTTACTGTTGCAAAATATGACAGATTTCTACTTAAAAATCAGGTTGCTATGTGTATTGAATGTTGTTCAACGCAAGTTACTCAGAGTTGCTCACAGTTACTCAGAGTTACTCAAAATTAACTCTGATTTTACTCATGTTCAAAAGCTGTCTTGCCCCTTGCTTTTATGCTTAATTTTAAATTAAAATTTAATGTATACAACACAACCGGGATAATCATATCTATTGGCTATCACCCAATCACGCTCTTTTGCATCTCGGCCATCATGATAACATCTGCAGACAGCTCACGTGTGTTACCACATATCCATCCGGAAATCTGGGAAGGATCCTTCCTCTCCTTCCAGCAACCGACCTATCAGCTTTCTCTCAGGATATCAGAGCTTTTAGAAAAAGTACTTTACCGTCGACATAAACATAAAAATACATGCTGATTGCCATACATCAATTATTGTTCGTTCGTCCGTCCGTCCGTCCATCCTGCCATACTTTAAAAAGAATGACTCACATCTTGCTCATAAGACATTGGCTAATTGTTCACCTATCTCGTTACCATCCTATAGGTCCACAAAATCATCGGTTTCCTGCCGAGTCTTCTGCAGGTGGTCATGCAGAACGACGTAGACAGTCCTGTCCGCCAGGCTGGGGCAATCTACCTGAAAAATCTGGTGACCAGCAGCTGGCATGAACGTGAGGCGGAACCCGGCGTGCCGCTTCCCTTCTCGATCCACGAACAGGATCGTGCCATGATCCGAGACACGATCGTCGAGGCAATCGTTCACGCTCCGGACATAATCCGCGTACAGCTCTGTGTCTGTATCAACAACATCATCAAAAATGATTTCCCCGGCCGATGGACCCAGGTAGTGGATAAAATTAGCATCTACCTACAGAATCGGGACGTCAACGGATGGAACGGAGCCCTGCTGTGCATGTACCAGCTGGTTAAGAATTACGAGTACAAAAAATCAGCTGAGCGGGCTCCGTTGACTGAGGCGATGAACCTTCTGCTCCCACAGATGTACAACCTGATGATGAACCTCATCAACGATCCGTCCGAGCAGAGCGTTCTCATGCAGAAGCTCATCCTGAAGATTTTCTACGCCCTCACGCAATACGCTTTGCCGCTGGAAGTCATTACCAAGGAGATTTTCTCCAACTGGATGGAAATCTGCCGTCAAATCTTGGATCGGCCTGCTCCCGATTCGTCTCACATCGACGAAGAAGAACGACCGGAAATGCCCTGGTGGAAGGTGAAAAAGTGGGCTGCCCACATCGTTCTCCGGATGTTCGAACGCTACGGCAGCCCGGGCAATGTCGTTTCCAAGGAGTACAACGAATTCGCCGAATGGTTCCTGCAAACCTTCACCAACGGTTTGCTCAACGTGTTGCTGAAAATCCTCGACCAGTATCGTAATAAAATCTACGTTTCCCCCAGGGTAATGACCGATACGCTGAACTACATCAAGCATGCGTAAGTGTTGAAAGGAATTTGATAATCAAATCACAAATCGTTCTCCGGTGTTCGAAGCAGCAGCAGATGTAGTGATTCAATTCACGCGCAGCTTCTGCTACTGCCGCGAACGATTTCGGGGTGGTTGGCTATTTTTAGATCCAATGAGGACCATAATCTTGTGAACACGAGATGGAAGAAAAGCAGATAAAGCTTGCAAATATTTTCCAAACGTGCGCACATTGTTGGGTCCAGTAGCGTAGCAAGGGTTCTTTGTTTATCCTGCATTATCGATTTTTAAATGTGTAATTATACTAATTCTCATTTTTCGTACAGCGTATCCCATGCTCACTCGTGGAAGATGCTGAAACCTCACTTCATCGCCATCATCCAGGATGTCATCTTCCCGTTGATGTCCTATTCGGAAGCCGACGAGGAACTGTGGGAAGCCGATCCGATCGAATACATCCGGCAGAAGTTTGACGTCTTTGACGATTACACTACGCCAGTTCCGGCCGCTGAAACTCTGCTGCACAATTGCTGCAAAACGCGGAAAGGAGTTCTTCCACAAGTCATGCAGATCATCATGCAAATCATCAACGCGCCAAATCTGAACGCAAAGCAGAAGGACGGTGCTCTGCATATGGTCGGTTCCCTGGCCGATGTGCTTCTGAAGAAGAAGGTCTTCAAGGACCAGGTGGAGAACCTGATCATGCAGTATGTATTTCCGGAATTCGCAAGCCCACACGGTCATCTTCGCGCTCGCGCCTGTTGGGTGCTGCACTATTTCAGCGAAATTAAGTTGAAAAACCAACAGGTCCTGGCGGAAATCATGCGACTAACTTCGCACGCTCTGCTGAACGACAAGGAGCTTCCAGTGAAGGTGGAAGCCGCGGTTGCCTTACAAATGTTCCTCATCTCGCAGGAGAATGCATCCAAATACCTAGAAAGTCAGATCAAGGAAATCACCCTGGAACTGCTGAAAATCATCCGTGAAACCGAAAACGAAGATCTGACGAATGTCCTGCAGAAGATCGTGTGTATCTATTCCGACCAGCTGCTTCCGATTGCCGTCGACATCTGTCAGCATTTGGCCACCACCTTCAGCCAAGTTTTGGAGGCCGATGAAAATTCCGACGAACGGGCTATCACGGCGATGGGACTACTGAACACGATGGAAACCCTGCTCAGTGTGATGGAAGAGCACCCGCAAGTGATGCTCACGCTGCATCCGATTGTCCTGCAGGTGGTTGGCCACGTGTTGCAGCAAAACGTGAACGAGTTCTACGAGGAGGCTTTCTCGCTGGTGTACGATTTGACCTCGAAGTCGATTTCGCCCGATATGTGGAAGTTGCTTGAGATTATCTATCAGGTAAGGGCTAGTTGTTATTGGGTAGAACAAAATAATCAATGAGCTTTTGAATTTTGCAGCTGTTCCAAAAGGATGGAATTGACTACTTCGTCGATATGATGCCAGCGCTCCACAACTACATAACTGTCGATACGCCAGCATTTTTGTCCAACCAGAACCACGTCCTGGCCATGTTCAATATGTGCAAAACGGTAAGTTGAAATTTTATCTGCTTTGCTATTACCTGCGATCCCATTGGAAATTCTGCAGTGATGGTGAGGTGTCGAGACTGTTGCACAAACTTTTCACACTTCTTGGCATATTTGGCATTTTGAAAGGGGTGGAAGAGGCAAAATGTGAACAAACCATATTTTGCCACTTATAGAAAGAACAGTTCACAAACTATTAAATAAATACGAAGAAGTAGAAGAAACCATAATTTCAAATCATCAAAAACGGTTCCTTTTACATGGCGTATTTCCTATTTTCAACTCTATGTTGGATCTGGTTGTTACGCCTTGTGTCAAAAGTTCGAATTATAATGTTTTAATATGCAAAAACGTGCGTTAGGACGAAATTGAAACTCGTAGAACGAATTTGGAATTCAGAAGCAGTGTTCGGAAAAAGTGCAAAGAGTAAATTGTATCATTATATTCTACTACCAAAGTTACTCGCATTAGGAAAGATACTCCGTTTTACGATACCTATGATTAAATTACACACGAAGAGTTCTCGAATGTTGGACATTTTGTGATCTCTTGTAATGATTTTGAGCAATCGTAACCTTTACTCTTTAAATCTGCAAAGTAGAGAACTCAATTCAAGTCCAGAAGACTTCCGACTCACTCTTTTTATTCATTTCTTCCACTGCAGATAATGACCGGTAACACCACAGAAGAGGCAGAGTGCAGTGCAGCCAAACTGCTGGAAGTGATTATCCTTCAGTGCAAGGGCCAAATCGACGAGTGTATTCCAAGCTTCGTGGAATTGGCGCTCACCCGGCTAACACGCGAGGTCAAAACATCCGAACTCCGGACGATGTGCCTACAGGTGGGAATCATCTATTTTCCATCCTTGTTTGGAATTTAATTTCGTTTTTCTGTTTCTTCGACATAGGTCGTCATAGCCGGACTCTATTACAACCCGCAGCTCCTTCTTCAGGTTCTGGAAAAGATCCCCCTTCCCGCCAGTAACGAATCGATAGCGTCGCATTTCATCAAACAGTGGATACACGATTCCGATTGTTTCCTCGGGTAAGAAAAAAAAACCTTTTCAAATATTTACAATCTAACGAAGTAATTGTTGGCAGAATTCACGATCGAAAACTGTGCGTCATCGGTCTGTGCACGCTGATGACCCTCGGAGAAGGCAAACCCCAGGTGCTGAGTGAGCTGGGCGACAAAATCATTCCCACGCTGATACTGATATTTGATGGGCTGAAGCGTGCGTACGCGGCCCGTGCCGCCGAAGGTGAGGAAGAGGAAAGCGAAGATGAGGATGACGATCTGGAGGATGGCATTTCTAGTGACGAGGATGAAGTTGACGAAATGGGACCGTCGTACTTTGAGCGTATTGCCAAGATGGCCCAGGACAAGGCAGCCGAACAGGGCTTCGAGCTGACTGCGACGATCAAGGTGAGGTTCACTTATAGCTTTGATGGTTGTGACTTGTGTGAGTCAGCATGGTTCTGAAACGATGATTCTAGGATGGAGTCGATTCGGATGATGAAGATGATGATGACGATGACGATGATTCCGGCGACGAGATGGACGAAACCGCTCTTGAAGGATTCACCACCCCACTGGATGACGAAGACAATCCAGCCTATGTGGACGAATACATGGTTTTCCAGGAAGTGATGACCAGTAAGTTCTACTTGTTGATTTAATCCACTTTGTTTGTTAACAACACTTTTCTTCTCTATCTCTTTTGACAGATCTACCAAACGTAGATCCAAACTGGTATAACATGCTTACCAGGAACCTGAAGCCCGAGGACGCTAAATCCCTGCAGGAGATCCTCGTGTTGGCAGAACAGAAGAAAGCAGCTAAACGTTCCAAGGATATTGAAAATAGTGGAGGTAAGTTGCACTGAACATTTACTCAAACTATTGATCGTGCTAATGTTTTTTTTTAAATTATGTTTCCCTTCAAAAGGATACCAATTCACGCAACATCAGATTCCAAGTTCGTTCAACTTTAGTGGCCAACAGTAGACAAAAACGAAACAAATCGCAACCCACAGAACAATCGTGTGAGTGCGGGGATAGAGAACGAATATTTTAACGAAAAGAAATGGCAAAACATGAAAATCTGTATCATAGATCAATAACGCAAAAAGTTTAGGGAAAACAAAACTTATTAATCGATAGGCTACCTATATCTCGCTAAGAATAATGTATTTTTGTCTCTCAAGTGAAAACAAATAAATCATAGAAGAGTATGACCGGATAGCGCGGAACCAAAAACCGAGGGTTATTTTTCTACAGCCATCAACACAACCGAGCAGACCGACAAAAGAAAGCCAGGCAAAGTCGCACGAGATTGTTTTTGTTATCAAGTGGATGTAAAGAAGAAAAAAAGAGGGCTTTGGAATTATTAAGCTAGTGTTGAAACATTTCCGTTCCGTTCACATATGTGTTTTAATATTGTTTATACATTTATGCATGCATTACCTATGTTATCTCTAAAACCAGTGCACGTATTGCTGCGCTTAGGAACAAAAACAAATATATCAGGGATTACCAACAAGCTTGCAGAGAGAAAAAAGGAATGTCTTTAAGAAACATAAAAAAAAAACCGCATGAGATCTACTGAGAAAAAAATATATACGAAAATACACACACACACACATGCAGATACAACAACTCATTGATTCCTAGTATCAGATCACAATTCATCAACAACAAAATAAAAAATAAATGACCGAAACGATAGCCGGGAAAGAGCAGTAGTCCATTGTATTTCAAATTCTATGTTTTTGGACAATTCAAAAGTACGACTGGGTACTGGAAGCAGAATGTTCATTATTGATATTTTTTTGAAATCAGCAAACTGAACCGGAAATACAATATAATTTATTATACAAATCACGCAACTAGAATATACCGAGTACTTTATTGCAAGGATGACAGTTCCTCGGCGGAGGTTGATATTTCCACCCTTATTAAGGGTCGTGAGTTGTTCAATTGGTTCCCAAAATTCTTTCTGCTCTAAATATAGCGACATATTGTGAACCGCTCCATATTAAGAACATATTTTAAATGTTTGAACATCAATGGAGCATGCTTCAACTTTGAAATAGCGTTATGTTGTGTATATCTTCAGTACTACAAACGCAACGCTGCACAGTGGTTTGAATGCTCAATATAACGAACTTTATTTATTTTCGCCTTCAATATCTATTTTTTTACCATGGTGTCTTCAGAAAAGTTTTTGTATAAGATAAGGCGCAAATATTTGTAATACGTTTTAGTTCGGAACTCTACCACAGGCGGCGCTGATTTTACTTTTTACATTTACAAGATAGGTATGTGGTTTCTTTAGCAATGTAATTTGATTCAGTCTTTGACAAATGCGCGCTGTCACTGTGCTGCGGAATGACTTTATTTTTCTTTGAATTAACCGAATAATGTATTTGAATCAATACCAAAAATATATTAGGCCCTGAGCCAAAAATATATCCATTTGTATTAAAGTTATCTACAACTTTGCAGAAGACACCACATACTTATCTTGTAAATATAAAAAGTTAGATTTTGCAGCGCCGCCTGTGGTAGAGTTTCGAAATAAAACTTATCACAAATATTTGCGCCTTATGTTATACAAAAACTTTTCTGAAGACATCATGGTGAAAAAATAGATATTGAAGGCGCAAATAAAAAAGTTCAAACCACTGTGCGCTGGAGTAAAAGTATAAAAAAAGTTACAATATAAATAATTTCACTACACTTTTGTTCGAGGTTTCAGACGCAGGAATAGACTATTGGGGAGAAATAACTTGAGACATCTAGTTAATGTTGATGGTTGAACTAGTAATGAAGAAAATCTTTATTCCAATTCAGTATAGGGTAACCAACTTGAATTGGACCCCTACATATTTTGGACCCTTTTCATATATTTTCCTCGCTTACTGTCTAGTTTCAACAAATTCATCTGGGTTGATGTTGTAATTACATTCTTTCAATTACTTGCTATGTCTCAAGATCATTAGTTCACCTCAAATTGCTTGCAATTGCTCAATTTATGCAGTTTTAGAAAATGTTATCGAAAAAGTTTCATGTTTCGACGTTAGTCAAGAGGAATCGGCGTTAGTGTACTTGTTTTAAATTTGGTCTAAAATATACAATTCAATGATTTTTTTATCGAATCAGTTTATCTGACTTTGGAAGATGTATTTCACGTGTTCATAAAGATTTCACCTTAAGATTTTACTTAAAAAGTATTAAATAAAAAGTGTCCAAAAAAGATCGTAAAAAAATGTTACCAACTTATTTTGGACACTTATCAAATGAGAATCATCAAAAGAGCAACAAAAAAATTCCGGTTGGTCGATCGTGCTATTATCTCAGATTTCTGATTAAATTGGTAAGTAAATCAATCAAAATTATATGAATTCATTGTTTTTAAATATATTTCTTGTTTATCAGGCGATTCAAAATGGGAAAAACGGCAAAACACGTAGAGTGGTCCACTCTGAGTTTTCCTAGTTTTCCTAGTTCCTAGTTTTCCTATCTCCCAAACGCATTTAACTAAGGGGCTGTTCATAAACTACGTAGACGCTTTAGGGGGGTTGGAGCGCTTGGCAGATGTCTACGGCCCATACAATTTTTTTAAATTTTGTGTTTGAGACTGTCTTCTACGGAAGGGGGGTTGAAATCTCTCAAAAACCGTCTACGTAGTTTATGAACAGCCTATACAAAAAATAATATGGACTGCAAGCATAGAGTCAGGTCTCCGTATTAAGATTTACTTCTGAATGATTTTTTTTATGGTATGATCAGTTGTTTCCTTATGTTATATTATATTTCCTCCGTTACTCGCGCCAACTTTTGTAACACGAGTACTCACGCGTTGTACTTTGTACAACAGTGTGAGTTTTCCATTTCCATTTTGCAGCCGAGCTACCAATCGATCTGAAATCAACGAGTATTCCTCAAAAAACTTGCTTTTAACTAAACAAGCTAAATATTTATAACAGTTAACCCTCAAAATATGCGGATAATAGAGAAAATGTAAATGGAAACCGCGTAAATGGTGTCCATACTACGAGGGTTCTGACTTAATTGGTTACAACATGGAATATCTCGAGATCCTGACCAGATAGAAAGTTACTGTATTTGCCAAAGTAGTTCTAGAGATCATAACCTTTTTGCTGGTGGACAGTAGTTCAAAATTTACTCACTACATAGCGCTAGTATACATGTCAAGTTCTCGCATGTGATATATCTCGAAATCCTGACCAGATAGAAAGTTACTGTCTTCGAAAAAGTTGTTCAGGAGTTCAAAGCCTATAGTTCAGAATTTTTTCACTATATGGTGCTAGTATATACGTGAAATTCTCATATAAAATATCTCGAAATCCTGATCATATAAAAAGTTACTGTCTTCGGCAAAGTTGTTCAGGAAGTCAAGGCCTTTTTGCTGGTGGACTTAAGTTCAGAGTTTTTTCACTTTGCAACGCTAGTATATATGAGGAATTCTCGCATATTAAATATCTCTAGATCCTGACCAGACAGAAAGTTACTGTCTTCGGCAAAGTTGTTCAGGATGTTTGGATCTTTTCTTTGGTGTACAGTAATTCAGAATTTTCCCTTTACGTGGCACTAGTATGCGGGTAGAGATATTTTATATGCAAGGATTTCACGTGTCTTTCAACGTCACCTAGTGAGAAAATTATGTACTTTCCACCAACGATAGGGTTTGATCTCCTGGACAACTTTGCCGATTACAGTACATTTTTAGCAGATACTGAGATATATCATATGCGAGAATTGCACGTATATACTAGTACCATGAAGTGAAATATTCTGAACTACCGTCCACTAGCCAAAAGGCCTTGATCCCCTGAACAAATTTGCCCAAGACAGTAACATTCTATCTTGTCATGCTCTCTAGATATTTTATATGAGAGAATTTAACGTGTATACTAGAACTACATAGTGAGAAAATTCTGAACTATTCTACACCAAGCAATAGGCTTTGACGTCCTGAACTACTTTTTCAAAGACAGTAACTTTCTATTTGGTCAGGATCTCGAGATATATCATATGCGAGAAGTATATATGTATACAAACGCCACGTGGTGAGAAAATTCTGAACTACTGTCTACCAGTCGAAAAGTCTTGACCCCCTGAACAAGTTTGTCCAATACAGTAACTTTCTAGCTGGTCAAGAACTCGAGTTATTGTATATGCGAGAATTACACGTATATACTAGCGCCTCGTAGTGTGAAATTTCTGAACTACTCCACCAACGAAAAGAGCTTGACTTCCTGAACAACTTTGCTGAAGGCATTTACTTTCTATCTGGTCAGGATCTAGATATATTTTATGCATGAGAATTTCACATGTATACTAGCACCACGAAGTGAGATAATTCTGAACTATTGTACACTAAGAAATAGGCTTTGACCTCCTGAACAACTTTGCCGAAGACAGTTACTTTCTATCTGGTCAGGATCTCGAGATATTCCATGTTGTAACCAATTAAGTCAATCCCACGTAGTATGGACACCGTTTACGCGGTTTCCATTTACATTTTCTCTATTATCCGCATTTTGGGGGTTAATTGTAATCAAAGTTTAGCTTTTTTAGTTCAGAACAAGTTTTTTGAGGAATACAAGTTGGTTTCAGATCGATTGGCAGCAACAAAATGGCAATGGAAAACTCATATGTGTTGTACAAAGTACAACAGCGCGAGTAACGGGGGGTTAACTTTTATGCATACCGTAAAACGGGGTGTAATTGATCAGCGGGGCAAAATTGATCGCTGAAATTTCTCGTGATATTTTTTCATGTGTAACATGTTTTTCGTTACTAAGCGTACGAATGTATCTTTGTATACATTGTAAAAATATTATGCATAAGTACAATATTGGGTATACTCAGCGATCAAATTCACCCCGCTGATCAATTTCACCCCGTTTTACGGCACCTTCTTTGAAAATTTTTCCACCTAGACGGACCTAACAAATGCGAGATAGGAAGAAGTGACCGTCGTAATTAATTTTAGGCTCATAGGTTGAAAGAACTTCAGCATGTCCAAAATATATTCGTTCCCATTCAGTGTGTCCAAAATATATTATGGACAC